GCACCAAGTGCTTCAATAGTATTGTTGCCGGCAAGTATATATTTCTTTTCAATTCACAAATAAGTACAATATTGTATCTTTCATTACAGGTACAGTTCAGATATAAATGTCTATTTTACATTACCAGTCCTAGGCAATTAGTGTAATTGTTTAATACATTTTTATCAAGATTTTTTTTGTCTGTTTGGAAAGATGACTCTCCTCATGGTGTGCTGTTGATTAGTGGAATCAGTTACAACTTCATAGTTAAGATTGTATAGAGATTTGTACTTGTAATGGAGATTTAAATCCCTCAGGATTTAGGAAACTTGAAAGTAAATATGTTTAATAGTTAGAAGCTGCTAAAACAGACTCGTTTGGATTTTTGACTTGCACCCTTGTCTTCCCCTAGCTAACAAATAGCCATCTTGTAATGCTCCGTGTATGTTCATGGAGCCCTAGACACAGGCCAGAATTTAAAAATAAATTAGCATTATTCTTAAACACCAAGGATGAGCAATGAAAATGCCTCTCACAAAATCACCACCATACAGCACTGGTAGTCAAATGCCAAAGTGCATGTTGCTGCCTATACTGGCTCCAGTGACCAGGCTGCCTTCTTGCTTCCCTGCTCTGCTCCTATAGTCACTCAGCCAACCTTTACAGTAGCTCTCCTCAGTCTCTGGTAGATCTTTTAAGATTTACCACAGGGAGCCCTGATCTGACTGACCTGGTGCAGAAAGAGTTGAATAAACTATTTGTTTTATAAGTGGTTGAAAAATATTCACAAAGTTATTAAGTTGACAGCTGCCCATTTGTATGGTCAGTGCCCAGAACTCACTTCCAGCACACATTGTCATTGTGGTAGAATTGGAGATGTGAGACAAACTGAAATATTTAGGTGTTTACATATATGCATTGAGCTACTTTTCAACCAGTGGTATGTCAAATAACCTGTGTAAATCTGTTGCTCTTCAAAAATGTCTTAACTTCCTTTGTTCTTGAATAGGCGGGAAGACCTGCTACTTCAGTAGTACAGGCATCAGGTGGAGATCTTTGGAAATTCTTGGGCACGATACTTTATCCACTCATAGCTGGCTGGAGGTTTATTAGCAACTTCTTATTTACCAGCCCTCCCCCCTCGCAACCTACAGCAAGAGCAGGACATCAACAAGAACATTCAAATCCTTCACCATCTAGCACTGTGGAGCCAAGCAGGTAAGCCGATCTGACTCATGTTCCATTTCTAATTTGTAGTTAGGACTAAAACTGCATATATCTTATTTTTGTAACATCTTTGCTGCTGGCCCACAATGAGGTAGGAAAGATGGTCTAGTCTAGTGCTTCGGAGACTGGAACCTAAGTGGGTTCACTTCTTGGCTTAGCCACCCATTTCCTATGTGATCTTGGGCAAGTCTCTTAATCTATCTTGAGTCTGGTGGAACCTTAAACTCCAACAGATTTATTTGGGCATAAGTGGGTAGTGTTTAAGGTGCCACCAGACTCGTAGTTTTTGTGGATACAGACTAACACGGCTACCCCTCTGATACTTAATCTATTTTGTGCTTCAATTCCATCTGTAAAATGGGGATAGTATTTCCCTATTAATGATTGAGAGGTACTCTGAGGTAGAGCTGAGCAAATGTTTTGATTTTTCTTTCTAACATGAAAAAATTTCATTCGGGTCAAGGAAAATATTTGAATTTCGTTTTGAAAGAACATGGGTTGATTCAAACCATTTCAAAATGAACTGTTCTTACTTCTTTAAAAATTTCCCCCTCGTTTTTTATTCAGCTGAAATTATTCACCCAATCTGACATGAATTCATGAATGGTTTTGATCACCCCAAAACCATTTTTTTGGTGAATTTACTATTTGACTGAAATTTCTCCCAGCTCTACTCAGGCAGACTGGTTTCCTTTGCTACAGTAATGCTTGGAGGCTAGTGGTTATTTTCAAGGAGAAACATCCCTTCTCTACAGCTACGGAATGTGCGAAGTCTTTCAGTAGGCAGTCTTAGAAGCAAGAGGGGAATTCATGACTCAAACCCAGCCATCAATCAGGCTCTTGATTATACGTTGGAACTCCAGTGCACTGTTGAACTAGTTCTCAAACATCTTTAATGCAAGAATGGTTATTGCATAATCAGTCCATTCTGGGAAAGTGCCTTCTATAGTCACTAGCTTTAAAGCAGGGATTCTCAGGCCCAATTATTTGGTGGCCTCAGCATGCAGCCATCAACTCTTGCTTGTGGCTGCTCACACTTTTTCCTAAAATACTTCATTGTAATTTGTTTTTCCTAAAGGTAATTATTTGTATATGTATTTGTACATATTTATTTATCTATTGCTAGCTAGTAAGTCCATTAATATCACTTTTCATAGCAAACATAAGTATCACTTTTCACAGCAGACTCACTCAGCCCTGGCAAGTTTAGGGACAAATCAAGCCTTGGCTGAGGGGCAGAGCCTGAAGCCCCATGGCTAGGGGACAGAACCCAAAGCCAGGCAGCTGGGGCTGGAACCTATCTTCCATGCCACCCCTGGGAAGATGGGGAACTCACCAGCTGTCTGCTCCTCCAGTGTTGTGCTCCAGGTGTCTCCAGGGGGGAGCAGGGCCCAATTGGAAGCCCCAGCAACCAACCCCAAGGCTGTGCTTCCAGGAGCACGAGGGAGGGACAACTGCTTTCCCCACCCCCATCACAGCCCAGAAGCTGAGGCCATAAGAAAAGCCCCTGGTGGCTGCATTAAAGAATAAAATGGCTGGGAGGGTTAGCAGTGCTGCAGTGCCAGACTATCAGATGACTACCTTCTAGTCTGTTCTTTCACCTCCATTTTTCCATACTGCCCTCAAATCTTCTCAAACTGTGGTTGTACAGGAAAGTTACCTTATGTGAGAGTTGAAGAAATTCTCATTTGCTTCACCTGCTCCTTACCCCCAGCAACTGCAAAGGCTTTCTCTCCCTGTCAGATCAACTACTTAAGGCTGGTTTGTTGGTCATGTCCATAGCAGACATTTATTACAGATGGAGGATCCTAAAGTCACAAATATTTTCAGCTAAATTGAGCTCCATGATCTGTAGGAAAGCAACAGGTTGCAACTTTGTTCCAGTCAGAGCAAGCCTCAAAATGAGAGGTATAGACTTGGCATAGGAAAACAGATAATATAAATGCAATTGCTGTTAAGGAAACTGCTCTTAACTTGAATTTTCTTCATGTCTAGGCAAGCAGTGAGGAAACGAGTACTGGAAAAGCGTGGGGAGGACTTCAAAAAAGAAGGAAAAATATACAGATTGAGGACTCAAGATGATGGAGAAGATGAAAACAATACGTGGAATGGAAATTCTACCCAACAAATGTAATTTTGAGTAACTGGGCAATAATCATTGTTTTTCTCATTTGATTTAATGAAACTAAAACTTCTACTGGATAGTGGGGCTTATGGGTTACACTGACTGAACTATATAGTACTTTACTTCATATCCCATTACTGAAATACAAATTGCCTAACTCAAAACTGAAATGCTATGCTATTTAATATGAAAGAAGTTCAAAGAATTAAAGGATTTGAAACTTCTATCAGCATTTACTAGCCCTACTGCCATCTTGGAAGGCATTTTTTAATCTAGGACTATTCTGCTACAACAGTCTAAGACCCAGCATTAATATAAAGTTCTTGGTAGGCCAATGAGTGAGTAAATTGAGTGTGTCAGAAGCATTAGGTAGCAAATCAGATATTTGTAATTTTCTCTTGCTTCTGCAACTGCCAGCAAAACCTTGTAGTTTTTAATCCCCAAGCACTCAATAAACAGTTTTTCAAAAAACTAACACGCAATTCCTAGTTTTGTATAAAATGTCTCTGTGGGATAGTGTTTGAGTTCCTTTTATGTACACATAACACAAAGGATTATGGGAAGTATGTCCCTTATTTCCCAGTGGCTTTTTGCTGTGGAGCTGCTTTAACCATCTAGAATGTCAAGACTTACTCTTTGCTTCTAGCAGCTGCAAGTAACTCCAGGATATTGTGCTAGGTTGGTTCAAGGGAACACAAAATAGTAAAGGGGATAAGCTGTGGGGATACTAGATCTGTCTCCAGTCTACCATTTTTCCCCACGTAAAGTGGAACATCTAAGGGACTGTTACATTATTACTGCTTAGTACCATGAAGACATATCCTTTGTCTAGAGCATTTACAATAGCTCATATACAGTAGCTTTCCTTCAAACTCAGTGAGATACAAAGTGGAGTTCTTAACAGCTACATGCAAGAGGAACCTGGTCTACACCTAAGAATTGCTAAAGGCGTGATAAGTGTCTGCCCAAGTTTCATCATGCCTTTAGTTTAACCAGAGCAACTTCTATGTACAAACTCTTAATCTAGAATTTACCTCTTTTGTGCTTAAACAAGTTCATTTGCATGATCTTCTCTTGTTTTACTTTGGACAGAGATGAAAATGCTGTTGCCCAAGAACTGTTATTAGACAGCTTAATTTTTCTAATAAAAACAGAAAGGGACTCCAGCTGTAAATGAAGGTATGTTTAATAAGGAGGAGACCAACTTTGAATGAGTAGGGTGAGTGATGGAAGCAAACACAGAAATTTACCACAATTAAACTTCAAGTTTTGTATGTTAAGTAGAGCAAATACATTTTTTAGATCTATGTAAGTGCTTAATACTACAAGTGATAGGTGCTAGTACAAAAACTCAGCAAGACTTCAATTCACTTGATCTAAAATTTTAATTTTTTCTGTTGTCACATGTTTCAGAGTAGCAGCCGTGTTAGTCTGTATCCGCAAAAAGAACAGGAGTACTTGTGGCACCTTAGAGACTAACAAATTTATTAGAGCATAAGCTTTCATGGACTATTCAAACTAAAGTCTGTCCCTCTTTCTAATTTTACATTGTATTAACTTTAACAGCGTTTAGAATCTTGGCATGTGAAAGACAAGCACAGTAAGATGTAAATTACATCATCAACTTTTTGGAAAAACTGTTTGAAATTCAAGGACAATTTGTTGAATGCATTCCAATTTTGTAATAGTTTGTGCTTGTCTTTAAAATTTTACACAGTGTAAATCAAACTGGATATAGAGTTCATTTTGAAGACCTTTTATAGACATGATCAAATGCTGTAATGCTAAATCAAAATAGTTGCATACAAGGGGAAGTATGCTAGGCTTGTGAGGGAGTAGCTTGTGTTGCTTAACACTAGCAAATGTCAGCAGCAGTGTCTTCCTCTAAACAAGGATGACTTACATCCAGGATGAGGGGGACAGATGCTCAAGACCAGTGATCTTATACATTTAGAAACAACAAAAGCTGTCAGGTGTCATCTTTTTGGAATGTTGTACTAGTCAGTCATTTATAGTACTAACTAGCATTTGCCTTAAATTGGCTCAAGAAGAGATCTCCTTAAGTTCTTTAATTAGATCAAAAATGGTGAACAGCTTGCCAATACTTAGTTTTGATTTAAAAATAGGTGTACATAAATAGTTATACTATAAGTGCTAATTGGTTAGCTTTTTTTAAATTAAGTTAATGTAAGCTAGGGACAACAGATGAAAGACCCTCTTAACAGTAGCTAACAACTACAGGTGGTATTGTGTGTCTGGTCCTTAAGACTTTAAAGAAGGGAACATCTTATGTTGCGCACGCACACACTGCAAAAATGTATATTTTACTTAACTATCCTGATGGTTTATTCACTCTTTTGGATAACTTGCCATATTTGTATGAAAAAAGCACAAGTCCTAACACACCAATTAGAGCAAAAGCAAATAACACATAGAGTCCTATTTCTGCATTCAGTGAAGTTAAACCTAATCCCAAAAATTGTACTTTCCCACTGGACGCACTGTGCATAGACCCCATTGTGCTAGCAGTTGGTGCAGTAGTACCTGGGAAGACAAGAATTGAATATCATCAATACCTCTTCTTATGAACTACTACATGTACACAACTATTTGATTTCTCCTCACTTATTCATAGTTCTATGAGGGCAGCTAATCAGTATACTGTCTTACAACAGGTGGGGGAAGATAAATTAATAATTGGTGATTTTAATTTGGACATTTAAGACCATTCAAAAGGAGATTCACCCCTCTCTCTCTCTCTACAAAAAAAAGTTTAATATTAATCTAGCACCAATCATTAGACTATACAGCCTTTATGTTTACATAACTCTCAGAAACCACTTTTGAAAATACCAGATAAAATATTCAGAAGTTATTTTGTTGCAGTGTCTCACCTTCAATCTCTGCCATGCTTAGGGCAGAGATCATTTTCTATTGGATAGGAAAGAGTCTCACATTCTCCAAAGAATGCTAGATCCCTATGTTTTGAAAAGCATCACACATACCAAGGCTGCCATACAAGTATTACATACTGTATAAGTTAGCTCAATTGGTTCTAGGGGTTTTGGACCTAACTTCTTTGTGGACTGAAATTCCTAGTTTTGACAATATTCTCAATCTGCAGAAAAAAAGTTTTTCTTCGTTCATAAAAATGTAAAGTAATATTTTAAGGTGTATGATGACGCCCCATGTAGTTCAACATAAACATCAGTTCCCTGTGTATTCACCAATAATAGCTCAGTTAGCAACTACTGTAACTGAGTCCCTAATTTGGATTATGCTGGGGCTGCAGGGAATTCTACAAAGTAATGTACTTTATTACATAAATGTAGAAATCATTAGGATGCTCTTAGCCATTAATATTAATCCCTATGTTCTGTTTCTAGTTAGTTACCTTCAGGCTGTGGCTGGAGACACAAATGTGGTCCATTTGCTGGGTCTGGGAAACCATTACATAGTATGATTGATGAATAATATTTTGAAGATTCTCTGGGAATCCTGGGCAGATTGGGATCGGTGTAGTTGATGTAATACAAACCAAATTTTTCAGCAAAGCCTGTTGCCCATTCAAAGTTGTCCATCAAAGACCATGCAGTGTAGCCTCGGAGATCAACACCATCAAGTACAACAGCTGTTGAGATGCACCAAATGTGAAAGCATGATCATGTAGGTATTTAAAACTTATTTTAAGGCTTATCTATAATATTTATCTTGGCATCTGTCAATATGGAAGGCAATTCAGTATGCTACCAAAGTGACACGCATAGCATAGTTGCCAACCTTCACATGGTAAATAAGCACTCTGACTTTCACAATAAGCCAAAAATCAAGCTAATCCCATTTCAAAAC